AAAATGCGCGCCACGTCGGCGCGCCGTCTGCGTCAGAGGCAGCCGAGGCAAGATTGGCCACCACGGCTCGCGAACGTCCCGCCTCGAAGCTGCATTGACAGGAAAAAATTTTGATGTCCTCCGGCCAATCAGCTCGCGAGTCCTCGTCTGATTGGCCAATTTCACCCACCTCTTATGGCTGGGTGAAAAATCAATCGGCATTCGTGCCTCTAATTGGTGCAGCCGACCAGGCGGCGCGTGAGGCCTGAAGGTGTGCAGCGCGAGCGTTCATTCTGCCCAGTGCGTCGCGTCACCACTCGCCTCGAACCGACCGACCTGTCACTCTCCTCACTTTCGCCTCGACGCGCTTCGTCTCAATGCCTCTTCTTGGCTTACTCGGCCGACCGGCCTTCTGTGGCCGCCGCTAACTCGCGTCGCTCGGCGTCGCGATGGACATTCAAGGCGACGGCGCCCCGCTCGAGGGGCCGGAGGCGATTGCGGCCAAGTCGTTGGTGTGGACGCCGCCCGAGCACCACGGCTACAGCTACTTCGCGTGCACCCTCTTGAGCGTGCTCGTCTTCAGCCTCCTGCATCACGTCGTCAGCCCGTGGATCTCCGTGCGCTACTGCAAGGCCTACTCGAAGATGGCCCGCGAAAAGCGCATCGAATGGGACTCGAGGTGAGCTCATTTGGGCCACTTTTGGCCACTTTTGGCCACTTTTGGCCACTCTTTTCATGCGCCACTGGCGCGCCTTTCACGCCGTCTGGGAGGGCGGCTCGAAGGGAGTCGACCATCGGACGCACCGGACGCACCGGATACCGCGGGAGGGTTGCCTTGGCCTTTTGTCTGCTCAATCTGGCGAAGAAGACCTCGCCCCGCGACCCCGATGACTCACTGTTCCGTGTTCCGCGTTCCGTGTTCCGTGTTTCCACGGACAGCGTGGCATTATTCACGAAAAAACCACGAAAAAAAACATCAAACCCACACCTTTCTTGGTTTATGGTTTTTTGTGTGGTCTTTTCGTGAATAATGGCTTCTGGCTCTGATGACGTCCATGAGAGGACGGGCGAAAGCGCAGCGCGGAGTCATCGGCGTCGAGGTCTTCTTCGCACAATTGCACAGGCAACAGGCCAAGGCAACCCTCCCGCGGTATCCGATGCGGCCGATCCACGAATCCCTTCAACTCGCCTTCTCAGACGAAATGAACGCGACGCCAGCATCAATCTGCCCAGGGCCTCTTCGAAAGCCAGCTTCTCTTCATGACTCACCACTTTTGTCGTTCTTGTCACTTG